TCAAAGTAGACTATCACTCACCCACATATATATATATATATCCTCTTCTCTCTGTGCCTACGGTTTATTGGGCAGTTGTGTTTGTGACGATATATATATATATAGGCCCTCGTTTGTTGTCCTCTTCTCCCTCTCTGCCTGCGGTTTAACGGGCAGTTCTGCTTGACGATGCCTCCTGATGAGTCGGTGAAACTCCGACGAAACAGTTTGTCACAGGCCCTCGTTTGTTGTCCTCTTCTCCCTCTCTGCCTACGGTTTACCGGGCAGTTCTATTTGACGATATATATATTATTTTTATTTTATTATTTTAACTTTGGTAAAGAAGTTCGATGTGACCCTGAGTCAAAAGTTGTTCAGTTTATTTTTCTGCATAACATAGTCGTTTTTCGGTATTTTTCTTCTTTTTTTGGGGGGGGGACCTTCCTTAGTCCTTGCACGGCCAGGCCGCCCAGGAAAACAGGGTGACCCGGGCGGCCCGGCTGGTAGCCTAGCCTTCTGGTGATCAAGTGATCGTCATGTAATAATTGGGAGCAGCGATGGGGAAAGGATGCCCCTAGGAGGAGGGGGGGTGCTGCTGAGAGATGAGGGTATTGAGAGATGAACTGAAGACCGGATTGAGTCAGGAGAGAAGATACTTCCCATGGCAGAAGACTGCCAACGCTGAGGCTCAACACACACACACGCACACACACACACACACACGCCAGCCACCTTAACTACAAGTGCGGCTGATCACCCTCCATTACCTGCATCTGACCCACCTATATCTCACCCACCCATTTCTCCCCCGCCTGACCCCGCAGGTTCCCTAGCCCCGATAGTCAATGACCGGCCTTCTGATCATTTGATGGAGCCTCTGACTGGAGATGACCTCTCGCCGGAGTGTGTGCTAGAGCCGATGCAGTTTCCACAAACGGAGGAACCTGATAGATACGATCAATATCACATTGAATCTCCGCCTGCCGTGCAATCCACAGAACTGAATGAACTGCCCCCTGCCGCACAACCAGCAGAATCATATGATCTCATAGTGTTGCAGCGAGGCTATTGTGCGTACTGTGCTATCAATGTAAGTCTCCTCGCTTACAATTGTAACCCTTACACAGTTTCTGAATTTGCTGAGATTGTCCGCTGGATAGAAGAAGAGCACCGTACTGTCTGCCCAGAGGATGACAGTACTGGTCCTGGAGTGAACATAGAGGTCTTGTCTATGGCATTTATGGGTAGAAGACTACAACTGCAGCCTGCTCCCCAAAACCACATGCCAGACATGAACCCAAATATTCGCGCGTACATCCTGCATCGGCCGGGACATTTCAGCGCTGTGACCTATGCAGACAATTCATGGGCCTTATGGGACAATTGAGGTAGGGTGCACACGGTAAGTAGCATTACCTCTTTTTATAACCAAGTAGCAAATACTCACTCAATTTGGATTATCCTTCAGGAACAATACCCTACTTCGCACCCGCAAGCGCTTCAGTCTCTGGAGAGCAATCCGGATGTGCAATTACCTCATTCCCCTGCACATGACCAGCCAGTGTCCCCTCCCTGTGTAGATAGGGCAGATTCTGCTCTAGACAATAGAAGATGATGGTTGTGCCCTTCCATTCCGTAGCCATACAGCCACAGTCCGGTTAGCATGCACAGTGCATAGTCTCTGCTCCGAACACTATGAAGGGATGGTCACTGCCAGCCTCTGTCGCGAAAACTGCGACTCTTCGTCTTGTGTTCATCCCCCCCACCCCCTAATCGCCTGCCCAATATGTCGTCATGGCCTTAATCTGCCATGCTTAAATAGCTGCGAACGTCAGCCTGCCTTCCTGCTGACATGTCAGCAACATGCCATGTGTCATCAATGTTTCCAGGAAGCTGTCATAGAAAGCATGTGCCTCTACTGCGTGGACTATCCACAATGCCATCATCCACCACATCCTCTCTTAGCATGTCCCACATGCAGAGTTGGGCATACAATTACTACAAACGCCATTGGATCTCCTGCTTTCCTGCCCGACGAACAGCAAACTCAACAGCCTGAGCAGGAAAATAGAGTATCACATGAGCCGCTTATAGAGCACTGTGCTGAAGGGCTAACACCACCAGGACGAACTGTTGCAGAACAAATCCTGCAGCAGCTAGACACCCTTGTTTTGGATGACCCCCTCTTGCCACAGTCGTCGTTGTCGTCGTCGGTCCATAGAGAAGGGATCAATGCCGAGGAAACTCAAAATACTTGCTCAATGCCGTTCTGTGATGATCCACCGGAGACTCGGCTAGCATGTGGGCAACATGCATTGTGTCATGAGGATTATGAAGGCACAGTCCGTGCGTCTTTCTGTTTTCATACGTATGATGACAGTCAATATTGCACTCACGTCCGGCACCCTGACATGTCATGTCCAATTTGTAGACAGGGGCTCGAATGACAATGCCTCTACAATTGCGGTCGGCGTGCCTCTGAGTTCCTTGCCTGTGGGAGCCATGTTGCCTGTGATATCTGTTTACGTCGTGCCATTCGTTGCAGCAACTGCAACTGCGAGAATTGGATGCGATGCTTCGACAGTCCGCACCCAAATCGGTGCTGTCCGGTCTGCAGGAGTGGTCACCTACCATAGGCAACAGCTACTCCTCATCCTGCAACCCGAACACTGATTGATTTCTCGTGTCATTCTATAGTCGACTGCTCCAGCGGTGTGTATGAAGAACGTATTGAACTCTCTCTCTCTCTCTCTCTCTCTCTCTCTCTCTCTCTCTCTCTCTCTCTCTCTCTCTCTCTCTCTCTCTCTCTCTCTCATATTTTCTCTTGTCCCCCCCCCTGTTGTCTACTCCCTGTCCTTGTGTACTACTAGTAAACGCATATGAATGAGCGTCGTTGAGAGAACAGACAAAATATAACTACCCTTTTACTCTGCCTCCTTTTATAACGTGCAAGTGGGCCGTAAAGGCACACGGGGATATGGGCAGCTGGCGCTCAACCATCATCAACGTGGCCAGCCTTGTACGTGATAGGCACAGTAAGAGGGTAACTGCAAAAACAAAGAACATGGGAGGCTTCCCAATGCTGGCTGATGAAAAAATAATCAAGAAAACGATGTAACATACTAACAAATGCACTGTGTCTCGTATTCTTTTTGCTGTTGGGATGGCCCATCTCGAGTGTCTTGCATTGCTTGTGTAAAGGTGAGATTCCTTGTCTGATTAAAGGTAAGGTTCTGAATAGATATTGACTTCACAAGCAAACCTGTCTCATTGGCGGATTGGCTCATCTCGAGCATGCTTCATTGTCTGCAATATAGGTAAAGTTGCTATGACTTTGGATCTACTCATCTGGGCGGAATAGAGGAAGTTGTGGTGATAATTTGTAA